TTTAATTATTATATGTGTTGGTGTCTTCCTTGGGTCCCTTGTGTTGGGAGACCTATTGCCTGAGAGACTATTTCCTTCCCCAGGTTGGTGAAGTTTTCAGCAATTACTTCTTCAAAGACACTTTCTATCCCTTTTTCTTTCTCTTCTTTAGGTACCCCAATAATATAAATATTGTTCCATTTGGCTTGGTCACACAGTTCTCTTAATATTCTTTCATTCCTAGAGATCCCTTCTTCTCTCTCTGCATCAGCTTCTCTGTGTTCTTGGTCTCTGATTGCTATTCATTTTAACATCTTCTCTACCTCATCGAATCTGCTTTTAAATCCCTCCATGGTATGTTTCATTTCACCTATTTTATTTTTCAACGTGTCTATCTCTGTCTTGAATTCATTCCTTAGATCTTGAATTTTTTTTGTAGCTCCATTAGCATGCGTATGACTTTTATTATTTCAAATTCTTTTTCAGGAAGATTGGTTATTTCAGTTTCACTGACTCCTCTTTCTGGTGGTTGAGGGGTTTTGGATTGAACAATGTTCTTCTGCCCTTTCATAATCCTTGAGTGATGGCAGGGGTCACAGGTAAGCAGTGCCACTGACTACCCAAAGGAGAGAGCTCTTTGCTGCTTCCCAGCCACAGTGCCTGCCTCCGCTGTTGAGGCCAATGAGCCACACACAGGGAATAGCCTCTGTGTTAAGCCCCTAAGGTGCATAGGTGGGGCTGCCCTCCAGCCGGCCTGGCACAATGGCAGGGGCTGCAGGTTTGTGCACAGGGGCTGGAAGGGAGGAAGGAGTGGCAGGATGCTTATTGCGGTGGGGGTCCTTGGGGCTGCGTTGCCAGTCAGGTGCATGGAGCACCTGCAGCTCCTGAAAGTTCCCAACCTGCTGGGCTGAGTGTGCCAGGATGATTTTCTCCACCTGTTCCTTCTCCTGGGCAGTTAGCTCTGTGTAATCCTTGCCCCTTCAGCAGCCCTCTCACTGTTGGGAAGTCTTTCAAAGTGCCCGCCTTTCTTTTGTCCCAGAGCAGCTGGTTGTGGGAACCTGTTCTCCACATGCAGCTGGAATCTCAGTCTCTGACTTTACTTTTCAAGCCCTCTAATCTCCAGAGCACCACGCAATGTGTTTGTGCTCCCAGAGTAGATCTCCAGGGCTGGGTATTTAGCAGTTCTGGGCTTCTACTCCCTCCCCACTCTGTTTCTCTTCCTCCTCCTGGTGAGCTTCAATGATGGAGTGGTCAGGTCTCGCTGGGTTGTGGCTTTGTTACTTTACCCTTTTCTGGGAGATATTCTCTTTTCCCAGATGTAGACTGGCTGGTGCCATCTTATTTCTGGTCACTCCTTTAGGATTAGTTGTTATTTGCTGTCTTTTTATATTATATGTGGTTTTGGAAGGAGATTTCTGCCTCACTTCTCACGTCACCGTCTTTTTTCCAACTGTCTACATTTATTTTTAAATGTGCTCTTGTCACTTCAGTTAACCTGGTAACCAACTGTTGTTTCTCGTTCACCAATGATCCTACACTAATCAAATGTTCTGACTCCCCCCTGACAGCTCTTGCTTTTGCCCTTTTAAAATCAGGTCATACATTAAGAAAAAGAAATCCACCTAAACTACCTTGGAGATTTTCCAGAGAATCGCAGGAAAATACAAATTTTTTTTTACTTCATTTCATAAAAAAAAAATGAGGGCCTTTTTCAAAATAATTAGATTTAACATGTTACTATTTTTAAGAATTGTGTGCTAAGAATTGTCAAATCAGGAGAGACATTAAGTTTTCCCTAGGTTCAAATGCATAGGTAAAATCTCAATACATTTCAAAAATGTATATACTTTATGGGAAGTCTCTAGAGGTGTGTAAATTCCCATGCTGTACATGTTTTCTTTTTACCTTCAGCAGAAACACTAATCAAAATATTTTTGAAATAATTCCATAGATTTTTTTCTATATTCCCCAGAGGCCTAGAGGTACACTGCCTGATAATACAAAATAGCATTGCTGGTCATAATTTTATTTATTATTTAAAATATTCAAGTACAACCATACTTCTTTCTTATTTTGAATCTAGCATCTTCTAGGATAGTAGTTGTCAACTGGGGAGACACATGGCATTCTGTAAATAGATTCAGTAACTATTCTATACTTACTGAATCTCTATGATAATCTTAGTATAAAAAATTAGGTCTACTCATTTTCATAAATCAGATACATAGATTTATACATAATAAATAGATACAACATTCACAAAATTCTTTGAAAATAGTCTTAATCATCATCGTTAGAGACATGAAATTTGTTCGGCATGGCTTTATTACCTTTATTTTACATGCCACAGAAACAACCAAATTACCTCGTTGGTATCATTATTGTTATTAGAACCTTCATCAGATCTCCTGTATTTAACAATTATCAGTAATTACCCAAATCATTAAGTCTCTGTCAACTGCAGTTTTGTTTTCTTGTGATGCTTGCCCAAAGGCTGTAATATAACCTACAGATCAGAGTTTGTACCTTCAACTAAAAAGAACAGATTCTGAGCCTTGTGAAAAAAAAAACTACCAGGTGCTTCAAACCATTGACATTTCAGAGGAATAACAGCCTTGGGTAGAAGGTTCTAAGTTGACATTGCTCTGACAATTTTCAGACCATATCACTGGGCTGAGCAGGATTTCTAGGATTAGTACAAAAACAGATGGAATCGTGAACCCAATGCTAACAGATCCAATGAAATAGGAACTGATTATATTAAAAATCTGGGAAACCTATAGAAGAGAGAAATTCACTCTAATTTCTAAGTATTGCAGATGAAATATGACTGATTTCTTAGACTTAGTTTCCTGCCCTTCAGATAGCAAATAGAGGTCTTTAAACATTCAATGTGAGATTTCTCATGAAAACTTCCAGAAAGAACTTAATTTTGTGACTTGAGCAATTGTTTAATCCCATATGGCTCCAGGTTTGCAAACAAACTCAAGGAGGCCTATACTGGTAATTAACGGAATTGCTAAATCTATACAAAGAAATAAACCCAAAAGCTAACCAGCTTTTCCTGTGACCAACAATAATCTCTGAGATTATGACGATCATCTATAGGCTATAGGCTATCAGAAAAAATTCTGAAAGAATTTGAAATTAACAAAAAAATATTACCACCTAGCACACTCTTCACAGTTATCTGCACCTTTTGTCTTTTTTTCTATACCTCTAATGCAGCTGATAGCAGTGCAAATGATTCTTACCAATAAAAATACCAATGAACTTTTCCCTTCAAATGTAATTGATTATTGCTTTGTGGATTTTGACCACTTTTGCATCTATTTGTAAATTAATTTGGGCCATCCTGATACCCTACACACACACACACACACACAGACACGCACATATGTGCGTGTGTGTGTGTGTGTGTGTGTGTGTGTTCGTTACTTCTTCTTTGACTTGGAGGTAACATCTTACAACTTCTCTTGATAATTAATGAATTCAATAAAGTCTTTGACTTCATTTGTTCAACTAAAATTAAAATTATGAAATGAAACCTACACATTTTGAAGACAGGGGATAAGCAGGCAGATTAAAGTTAAAGAGTAGAAGAGAGAAACTGTTTGAAATTGGTATGTAAAATTTGAGGATATAATGGAGGGATATTCCATGCAGAGTAAAATAAAATATGTACACGAACAATGAACTCTAAATCATAAAACGTTTCACAGTGTGCGTAATACAGTAGCATGCCAACAGTACTCAAAGACTGACCTCAAAAGTCCCTCAAAGACAAACCAGCACTTGTGAACAACTCGCCTCATTAGGATTATTCTCAAAATAACTTTATTCCACAAGTTGACAAGTAGAAAATCTTAAAGTGAATTTAGAGAAATATACTCTAAATTCAGCAAAACCATATATTGCTCCTCTCTTCTGCAACTGGAGCGTCAGTTATACTGGGCAAATTACTTGAGCTCTATTTCAGTGTCCTCATCCATAAAATGATGGTAACAAAACTCACTTCTGAAGGCTGTTTTGAAAATTAAATGAGTTAACACATGTAAAACTATCACAATAGTAAGTGGTCCAGAGCAGTTATTATTTTTCTTTTATATACCACAGTATATGTTACGGAATATATGATGAAGCAAACCAATAAATTTCTCAACTCAAGATGAGTAGTTTTTATCAGTTTTTTAAAAATAAAACAGTAAAAACTAAAGACCAAAAGCCTTTAAAAGTGCTTCCTAAATCATTCTTACTCATTCACTTATTTACGTAGTTACTTATTTGGCACATTGTTGAAAATAGGATGCCTTCCTGTCTTTTTATATTCCTATCCCAACAATGACATTCAAACTGAAACAGCAGTAAGAAAACTGAGGATGGGGAAAATGTACAACATGTAAGTACACTTAACCTGTGAGGTACCAAAGTATTAAAATGGCCATAGCAGAAAGTTTTATTTGCAGGTACAAACTAAGACAACCTCAATCAAACAAAAAAATATGACTTCCTTTAAAAATTGTTTTTTTGTATGGGAAAGGAGTAGATTTCTTAACAGTATTATGAACAAAGGGACCAGATCTTTAAAGTCCCTTCCAGCTCTAAAAGTCTTTGAAACTATGAATATGTGATGCTTCTGAAGCAACAATCAGGAACCAGAAATACAACAAAGAATCCACTTTTGGTGGATTAGTTTCATGTAAATACACGTTACTAATCCTTTCCATTTTCTGAAATTAAAAAATATACATATGTTATTCTCTAGAAATAGCTTTTAGTTAAATACTGTTCAAGTAAGTCTCAAATCCTTCCCATTTTTAATCTCCATGGAGGAGAAAGAACTATACTGCTATGTAATTTACACAGAAAACTGAATCATAAAACATTTTATACAAAGAGCTTTAGAGAAAGAAGAAGCAATGAAAACTTATACTCATGCCAAAGAATTCTTAATTTTTTAAATTTAGTCATTTTAAAAGCATCAAAATCATACAAAAAATATTTACATCAAGATAAGATACCTGTGGTTAGTAGAATTCCAAGAAGTTTCTCTCTTTTTGAGTACTGGCCAACTGGGAGAATGATCTGCTGAACATCTACACATGCTCTCCCCATTTGTCCAACCACAACAAACAAGTAATTCCGCTTCAAAAACTTACGAGCCAACCTTGAAAGACAAAAGATTATTCCTTTATCCTCTTCCATTAATACTCATAATATTCACTGAATTCCTGCAAGTTACTTCAATATCAGACAGATTATAGCAGATAAAAAGATTAGGTGGATACTATGTTATCCTAATACTATTCTCAAAAATCAGTATAAAATGTTAAGATTTTGCAAAATACAATTACTAGTGAAAAAGTGTGTGTCAGATTATGAATATAATTTCAAGTGGATGTGCTGACCATGTAAAAACTACATAAAATGTGTATGTTATAACAAAAAGTATGCTAAACCAAGCATTAGACTACAGCAAACAGGAATTATTAAAAATTGAAATGTAAGCCTATGACAAAATTCTGTTCTTTGCTCACTGCTTTTATGTATGTTGTTCCCAAAACTTGTTTTCTGAAAACACTACTTACTAAATTAGTATACTTGAACTCAATTATTATGTGCTACCCAGAATTTAGGAATCAACTATTATGCGCTAACCAGATTTTAGGTCAGTGTTTTTCATGTCATGAAACATACAGAAAATGGTATTTGTAGAGCAAAAAAATGGGCAAAAAAAAAGAAACAAGAAATGAAATGCCTAGGGTCTAGGCCCACACCCGATTGTGTATGCTCACCCCAAAGGTTAAGGGTAACAGCATCTGACACACAATAACACTCACCAACAGTGCACCATTAAGGCCTGTTTTAAATCACCCAGAGGTGGGGAACTTCCAATTACAGAACTTTTTTTCTGGGATTAAAGATGAGGTCCAAATCTATCATCAGTCCTCCTCTCTCCTAAATAGAGGCCCCTTATTTTCTAGCTGCCTCCTAAAATATCATGGTAATAATTAAACCCAGACTATCCAGAATCTTAATAATCACTGCTTCTTTCCTCTCACTTGCATTCTTACCATAAAGGAGAAAGAAAAGCTTATTTTTTATATACCTCCATCTAAGTCAAGCATACTCTCATCCAAGCACAAACCTTGAAATTACCTACAATTCGTTGTCCATCATCTTTTTCATTCACTAAAACATTTAGTGAGTGCCTTGTGAAGGGCATATATGGCTACAAGTTACTGGAGGCACAAAGATAAATACGATAAAACTTCACCAAAAAACTACTGGAGTAAATGAATTCAGTAAAGTCACGGGATACAAAACCGATATGCAAAAATCTGTTGCATTTCTGTATAAAACTGACCAGCTACAGAAAGAAAAACTAGGAAAACAATCCCATTTGCAACTGCATTAAAAAGAATAAAATACCTAGGAATAAATCTAACCAAGCAGGTGAAAGGCCATTATTTTGTATGGCATCACAGAAGACCCCCAAAAGACCAAGCAATCTTGAAAAAGAAGAATGAAGCTGGGGGGGGTACCACATTTCAAACTACACAACAAAGCTACAGTAATCAAGACAATATGGTACTGGCACAAAAGTAGAGACATAGACCAGGAGTAGAAATAGAGAGCCCAGAATTAAACCCATGCTTATAAGGCCAATTAATATATGACAGAGGAGGTAAGAATGCACAATGAGGCGGCGGGGCCAGCACGCGCGGGAAGCGCCAGCGGAGTGGCTGGGTGGCTGCGTGGGTCATGGCCCTCTCGGTTCCTGGCTACTCGCCCGGTTTCAAAAAGCCGCCGGAGACTTTGCGGCTCTGACAGAAGAGGGCCCGGAGCCTTGGGGCTGCCGCTGTGCCCAGGGAGCTGCCCGAGCCGGCGCCACAACACGCCGCCCTGGCAGCCGGGCTGCCCCTCCGCCCCTTCCCGGCGGCGGCGGACAGAGGCTGCGACGGCGGCGGCCTGGCCGCGGCCCGGAGGAACCCCTTCGCCCGCCTGGACACTCGTCCATGGGCCACCGTGGAGCCATGTGACGGGCTGCCCCGTGCAGAGCAGGCGGCACCGGGCCCGTTTTTAGATTCTAATCAAGAGAATGATTTGTTAATGGAAGAGAAGTTTCCTGAAAGAACAGACGTCACTGAATTACTCCACACTCCTCACATATCCTCCTCCGAATCTGATATTCCATCCTCAGAAAGTACCGAGCTACCTGCGGACTGGAGTATTAAAACTCGACTCCTTTTCACCTCTCGTCAACCCTTTACCTGGGCAGATCATTTGAAAGCACAGGAAGAGGCTCAAGGTGTGGTGCAGCATTGCAGGGCAACGGAAGTTACTATGCCTCAAAGTATCCAGCTCTGTGAGCTTCACTTCTCTATATAAACTTCTGAAGACAAAATTTTGCCCCTATTTCTACGTTTGTACCTATCAGTTTACTGTCCTGTTCCGTGCAGCAGGATTCGCAGGAAATGATGTAATCACAGCTCTCATATTTCCTACAACTAGAGGCATCAGAGAAGCTATGAAAAATGAAGGTATTGAATTTTCCTCACTTTTATTAAAAGAAAATGGCCATAAGAAGAAAAAGCATCTGGAACAAGCCCTGGGACATGAGGAGGAGCAAGTAATCAGTGATGAGGATGAAGAAGAAAGTTTTTCCTGGCTGGAAGAGATGGGTGTGCAAGATAAAATTAAAGAACCAGACATGCTGTCTATCAAGATGAGCTTAACTGCCACCTCGGGTCCACAGGCAGGACTTCCACCAACCCTCTTATCCCCTATAGCTTTTCGGGGCGCCACAATGCAAATGCTGAAGGCACGAAGTGTAAATGTGAAGACACAAACTTATTTTGGATACAAGGATCAATTTAGTTTGGAGATTACAGGTCCTGTCATGCCTCATTCTCTACATTCAGTGACCATGCTACTGAAATCTTCACAGAGTGGGTCATTTTCTGCAGGACTGTATACACATGAGTCAACTGCTGTATTTAATATATGCCCACCAATAGAAAAGGTACTGGATAAGGAGACCACTCCTGAGGAGCTTGCCAACTGTGGGTTGCACTCTAAAACTCTGGATCAACTTAGTCAAGTACCAATATTGGGGAAATCATCTTTACGGCATGTGGAAATGAGTGACTACATTTATAATTGGAGATCCTGAACATCAAAGTAAGCCTAAAAGGAATCTTTGAGGAAAAAAGCCTTCTAGCAAGGAAATTCAAGATTCGTATACCTTTGGCTTTAAAGTTCATTTTGGAAGTTAAATGAACCTTACCTTAAAAGTGTTAAAATGTTAAAAATGTTAATCTATTACATTAACTTTTATTACATGCATTAAGCAATAGGATTGAGGTTTTAAAGTTCTACCACTTTGGTAAGAGTCAGATATGAAAGTACTCCAACTTCTTTAAAAACTCAATGAGAATTTTAGATTCCCTAGAACGTAATTATAAAACAAGCAGAAAACTGTTTCTTTGCAAATGGGAAATTGAGGCTAACTTAGTATCAACTGTCTCATGGCATTCTGACTATTGGCATTAGGGAAAACTGTATTTGTAGGGCGAAACGATTTAGTAGGTTCTAGTTTTATGAAGGTAGAAAGCAAACGTAGTCAGCATGTACGGAGCTGGCTGTTGATGCTTCTACCCGTAGTTGCTTTCCTACTGATTTACAATTCCTCTATTCTCAAATATACTAAACTTGTTTTTATAATGCAAAAAAAAAAGAATGCACAACGAGGAAAGGGCAGTCTATTCAGTAAATGTTGTTGAGAAAACTGGACAGCTACACCCCCAAAAATGAAACTGGATCATTGTTTACACATACACAAAGATAAAACTCAAAATAGGTTAAAGAACTGACTCTAAGACCTGAATCCATAAAATTCCTAAAAGAAAACACAGGCAGTACATTCTTGAACACTGGCATTAGTAATATTTTTCCTGAATATGTCTCCCTAGGCCAGGGAAACAAAAGCAAACATGATCAAGTGGGATTACAATAAAGCAAAAAGGTTTTGCAAATGAAACCATGAACAAAATGAAAAGGCAGCTGACACCATGGGCAAAGATATTTCCAAGTGGTACATGCAATAAAGGGCTAATATCCAAAATACATAAAGAACTCATATCCACCAAAAGAGGATCATTGGTAACTGTTAGTCCATTCTGATAAAAAGATAATCTGATTAAAAAGTGGGCAGAGAATCTACATAGATACATTCCCAAAAAAGACAGAGAGGTGGCCAACAGACACGTGAAAAGATGCTCCACATCACTAATCATCAGGGAAAGGCAAATCAAAGCCACAATGAGGTGTCACCTCACACCAGTCAAAATGTCTAGGACCCACAGGACAATAAATAACAAAATAATAATAAAATGAACAAAATAACAATTAAAAAATAATAAAAGTGTTTGCAAAGATGTGAAAAAACAGAACCTTTGTGTGCTCCTGGTGGGAATGAAAATTAGTACAAAGCCACTATGAAAAACAGTATGGAGATTTCTCAAAAAACTAAAAATAGAATTACCATATGACCCAGTAATTCTACTTATAGGTATTTACCCAAAGAAAACAAAACCACTAACCTGAAATATGCACCCTTGTGTTTACTGCAACATTATTTACAATAACCAAAATATGGAAGCAACCTAAGTGTCCATCAATGGATGAATGGATAAAGAAGATGTGCTACACATATACAATGAAATATTACTCAGCCATAAAAAACAATGAAATTTCATCATTTATAACATGACATGGATGGGCCCAGAGGGTATTATGCTAAGGGAAATAAAATAAATATAAACCTTATATGATTTCACTTATATGTGGTATCTAAAACCAACCAACCAACCAACCAACCAACCAACCAACCAGTAATATTCTTATAAAAAATAGAGAACAAACTAGTGGTTTCCATCAGGGGAGGGAATGGAAGGACAAGTGAAATAGCTGAAGGGGAGAAAAAAATGAGAATATTTGATATCTTGATGTTGGTAATAGTAACATGTATGTACACATATATCAAAATTCATCAAGCTGTACATTAAAATTTCTGTATCTCAATTTAAAAAATCATTTAAAAAAGAATATAATGGCCTCTGCCTCTGAGGTGCTCAAATGAAGTAGGATAAATGTATAAAAACAATTAGCATAATTCAAAAATATTTAATGTACTTTAATACTTACATATTTTAATTATATATTAAGTATTTAAAAAATTAATACAATAGTCTAGTGTTATAATAAGTGACATCTACTGAACACTAATTATATTCCAAGAATGTACAAAGTTTTTTAAATAGTTTTTTCCCAAGATACACAGGCATGCAATAGAAAAAATGATGTCTATTTAGAAAAATCTTCAAGTTTGCAGCATCTCTAAGGAGCAGCAAGCAAGGAAAAGTGATGACTCAGGAAAGGCATACAACACAGAAGGAGAGAAGAACAAGAACAAATAATTAGAAGGGACAGAATTGGCTTGCTCAGCCAATAGGAAAGAGTTTTGATACACTAGAAACATGATTCCAGGTAAGAAAGTGGCAGATGAGGCAGAGCTTATGTCATGTGTAAAACACCTTGAAAGTTGGTTAGTCTATGGAGATAGGAAGACATAGAAGGGTATTTTTTTGTTGTGGTATCATTAATATACAATCACATGAGCAACACTGTGGTGACTAGATTCCCCCCATTATCAAGTCCCCACCACAAACCCCATTACAGTCGCTGTTCATCAGCATAGAAAGATGCTGCAGAGTCACTACTTGTCTTCTCTGTGTTATACTGCCTTCTCTAGGCCCCCCCAACATTATGTGTGCTAATCATAATGCCCCTTAATCCCCTTCTCCCTCCCTTCCCACCCACGCTCCCCAGTCCCTTTCCCTGTGTTTACTGTTAGTCCATTCTTGGGTTCTCTGAGTCTGCTGCTGTTTTGTTCCTTCAGTTTTTGCTTTGTTCTTATACTCCACAGATGAGTGAAATCATCTGGTACTTGTCTTTCTCTGCCTGGCTTATTTTCACTGAGCATAATACCCCTCTAGCTCCATCCATGTTGTTGCAAATGGTAGGATGTTTTCTTAGGGCTGACTAATATTCCATTGTGTATATGTACCACCTCTTCTTTATCCATTCATCTACTGATGGACACTTAGGTTGCTTCCATTTCTTGGCTATTGTAAATAGTGCTGCAATAAACAGGGGTGCATCTGACTTTTTGAAACTGGGTTCCTGCATTCTTAGGGTAAATTCCTAGGAGTGGAATTCCTGGGTCAAATGGTATTTCTAATTTTAGTTTTTTGAGGAACTTCCATACTGCTTACCACAATGGTTGAACTAATTTACATTCCCACCAACAGTCTAGGAGGGGAACCCTTTCTCCACATCCTCACCGGCATTCGTTGTTATTTGTCTTTTGAATGTTAGCCATCCTAACTGATGTGAGGTGATATCTCAGTGTGGTTTTAATTTGCATTTCTCTGATGATTAGCAACGTGGAGCATCTTTTTATGTGCCTGTTGGCCATCTGAATTTATTCTTTGGAGAAGTGTCTGTTCAGGTCCTCTGCCCATTTTTTAATCGGATTATTTGCTTTTTGTTTGTTGAGGTGCTTGTGCTCTCTATATATTTTGGATGTCATCCCTTTATCAGATATGTCATTTACAGATCAATATATTCTACCATACTGTCGGATGCCTTTTTGTTCTACTGATGGTGTCCATTGCTTTTTGTTTTCATATAGTCCCACTTGTTCATTTTTGCTTTTGTTTCCCTTGCCCGAGGAGATATGTTCACGAAAAAATTGCTCATGTTTATATTCAAGAGAGTTTTGCCTACATTTTCTTCGAAGAGTTTAATGGTTTCACAACTTACATTCAGGTCTTTGATCCATTTCGAGTTTACCTTTGTATATGGAGTTAGACAGTAATCCAATTTCATTCTCTTACATGTAGTTGTCCAGTTTTGCCAACACCACTTGTTGAAGAGGCCGTCATTTCCCCATTGTATATCCATGGCTCCTTTTTCATTTATTAGTTGATCATATATGCTTGGGTTAATATCCATACACTCTATTCTGTTCCATTGGTCCATGGGTCTGTTCTTGTGCCAGTACCAAATTGTTTTGATTACTGTGGCTTTGTAGTAGAGCTTCAAGTTGGGGAGCATAATCTCCTCTGCTTTATTCTGCCTGGAAGGGTTTATTTTTATTAAATATCTAAAAGGATCAGACTTTATTTTGGAATTGCAAAGCAAAAGTGAGACTAGAAGCAGGGAGAGAAGTTAGAAAACTGCCAACAAGCAGAAGGAAACTAAAAAGGACTTAAATTAAGGTAGGAAACACAGAAGAAACTAACAGATTTGGAATATTGTAGAGGTTACTTCCAAGTTGAATATTTTTGAAGGGCAGAGAGTTAATGTAGTGTGAGGGAGGAATCAACATGACTCAAAGGTTTTTGGCTTATAAAGATCATGACGCCAAACACATAGTGAATCTGTGGCATCTTGCTTCACTGATGGACAGGTACTGCGTTGGGGTATGGGTGGGGACTTGATAATATGAGTAAATGTAGTAACCACATTGTTTTTTTTCTACATTATTTTTTAATGTGAAACCTTCATAAGAGTGTATATCAATCATACCTTAATATAAAGTTAAAAAAAAAGATCATCATACAAAAAAGGAAAACTATAAAGGACAGGGAGAGTTGAACACATTCAATTTCGGACATAATGAACAAGAGTTACTAATAATTCATCTAAAAGGAGAAACACTCCCAAAGCCTGGAAGTCAAGAGAGAGATTAGGGATATACAGGTAATACATTCGGAAGTGTTAAAGACGAAGTACCAGCCAGAGACATGGATGCTGCAATGGTTCAGTGAACATGGAGAATGAGCAAAGGGGACTTTAGACCCAATAACAGGGAACTTGGAATGTTCAAAAGCAGACAGTGAAGCAAAGGAGTCTCCAGGCACTCAAGAATATAAGCAATTCAAGATCTGGGACTCTACCTTGTTGACCATTCAATAAGGCTCATAAGAAGTCCTCAGCAAGTATTACTGACTGATGGCAGTACACATTCGTTATTGTGGCTGGGCAATATCCAAATACTTCCCTAGTTCAGGGGAAATCAAAAAGTAGATAGGCAGCAGGAATATTACCTACTGTTTAGGTAGGCAGTTACCTAATATTAATCACCAAAGACGATAACGGGAATGTGGACATCTCATTTCAAACTTATGACACCACTTAAATATAAGAAATTATACTTTATGAAGCACTAAGAAAAAAAAAACCCTGCCAAGTAACTGAATGCTTTCTTATGATTTAGACTTTTTCCTCAGTAAAGAGCTCTGTTGAACTTTACAAGAAGACTCTTCAAATCATCTATCTAGCAAAATAAATTAACAGCCAGCACCAGTGTCTGAGTCTGTCAGACCAGGGAAGCCACTTTACCTCAAAGGAGTCACTGGAACAGGCCTTTAACCATGGGGTCATAGGTCATATCACAATACCTAGATGCTGTCAGCTTGACAAAAATTGGAAAGCCACTTAAAGAACACCAGCTTGGAGTGATTCTTTACGAGGACTGTGTATCATGCAACGAGGCAGAGTAACTCTTTGAATCAAAGATCTTTACATGGAACATGGGTCTGGGAACCAAGAAGTGAAAGAAAGAGTGGCCCACTTACCGCCATTCCCAGTGACCCACATGAGAAATCTGTGTTTCCCATCCCCCTACAACTCTAGGTTCTACATATTTGGAGGTCCTGAGTCCCAAAGACAGAAGAGTTCTGCCAGAGAAAACAGCACGCATCTTACTGAATCACAAGCTAACGTTGCTGTCCGCACTCTTGAGACTCCTTGTAGCCAAGAGAGCAGCAGGCAGGCGGAAGACTCACTGTGCTAGCAGCCATGTGTCATACTAATCTCAGAAGTCACCAGACAACACGGTATACAGTATGATACTCAATATTTGTCAACGTTCGGTTTGTCAGTTTTCTACCAAAGGCCCAATTCTCCCAAGCTCTATAATTTTCGTTTGAAGAGAAGATATCAATGTAAAAGTAACTACATTTAGAACGTTCTACTAAAGTGTTGCTGACATTTTCATTTCTAGCCTACAAGGGAACAACACATAAAATACTAATTGAGTCATTTACAAGCTTTCGATTATTATCACAAGCCACAATCTGTGCTTATTCTTCTGTTTCTTTGTTTAACTTTTATTTCTAGTAAAAAAGTGGGCTAAGTAAACAGTCATCTGAAAGGAAAACAAATATTTATTTCTCCAGTACTTCTAGCATCCTGTCAATACTCATTTCTGCCCTACTGAATTATATTGGTTGTGTTTATAAATGTCTATTTCTTAATGTCTTTTATGTATAACTCTAGTCAAGAAAGAAGAAGATGAATGAATGAAAACTAAGACAATTCCTTTGCTGAAAGAAAATAACATCAGTGAAAAACAATTAACTGAATTTATTAAGCATTTATTTAATCCTAGCTAGGTGCATGCTATTATAGACACAGTACATATTTTAAATAAAATCTCATGCTAATGCAAAGCCAGGAATTAAAGCAAAACAATGAAAAATATGGTAAGCTTTTTAGAATACATCTACTTTTTAAACTACCTATTTAAAAATCTTAAATAAAAAAAATCAAGTATCTCAAAAATAGAATATTCACATTGCTTTTCCTTCCACAAAAGTATTTCTGTACATAACAATCATTTTTAAGAAGAAAAAACTTTTACCTCTGAATTTCTCCTGGAAATGTTGCACTAAACATAACGGTTTGACGCTGCTCCTTTGGTGGCATTCGTGGGCAGGAAATTAACTTTATCATTTCTGGTCCAAAGCCCATATCCAGCATGCGATCAGCTTCTTCGAAAACTAAGTATCTGACTTGTCCGAGACCAATCTATAGGAATATTTAAAGGTTAGAGCAGAGAATGCATACTATTTAATATATTAAAATATTCTCCACAATTCCCACTAATATTAAGGACAAAAATTAGAAATCAATGCATAAAATGATGAGAATTATGCATAGAAAGTACTATTACTGTTTATTTCTGTCCTCAGTTTTTCTCTGCTATAAAACATTCTGTAAGTTAAAGACTAAAAGAAACCAAAACATCTAGGATCAATGCTGCACAACAGACCTTTCTTCAATTACTTAAAAATTCTTTATCTGCTACGTGTTAGCTACTGCCCACATGTAGCTATTAAACACTTGAAATGTGGCTGCTGTGCCTTAAGAACTAAATTTCAATTTTATGTTATTTTCCATTTAAATAGCCACATGTGGCTAGTGTCTACCATACAGAACAGCACAGATCTAGACTGTATTTTACCTGATAGAGTTAGACTACAATGTACAAAAAATTTTCTAACAGAATGACATATTCAAATGTCTTATAACTGGTAAACTTATTTCTAACTCCCTTAAACCCTTAATAAATCCTCTATTCTCTAATCACTCAGGAACAAGTGGGAAACTTCTCTCACCGTGGCATGAACACTTACTGCTATAAACAGAAGCACACACTTGCAAAAGGAAAACAAGTGACTTTGGTACCACCATGGAAGATGTTTAGTGAAAAATCAACGTGCCGTTATCTGAATACTTTTAATAGGATCCTAAGAAAAATACCTTTATGCAGAAAAAGTATGTTTTGAGTAACCCCTTTAAGGAAGAGCCTAAAAAAGGCAAATCAGGTTCATCAAAGTGAACTTAGAGTACTGATTAAGAGGTTTAATAATGTGCCATGTGAATATCTAACGTACATGACCTCTAACATCTCTTTTTAAAGACTTAGAAAGTTAACTTCCCAGTTCATACCACTCTCATGCTTAGACAGGAGACAAAATTACTGATGCCACAAAGGCTTCCTTACAGGAAAAAAAGTATTTCATTGACATATATATGAAACTACATAAAAGCACTTATTGCATTTTTCTCCAAGTGTGGTGGGGTATATGATATAGGTTCTAGAATCAGATCCAGATTCTAACTGTAGCTTTACTGAGCTAACTGAGGGATTTTAAATAATTTACGTGATCTCACTGAATTTTTTTCCAAGTACAGAATGGAAAATACTATTTATCTACTGTTTGAATTATTTTAAGAACTACATAAGAAAACATTCAAAGAATCTGATGGGAACCTAACATATAAATGGTGCTCTAATAAACACATCCACCTTTATGCCCTTCTTTCTCTTTCTCATACAAAAATGTTTTAATCAATCCCACAACTTTCTCCCTCTAGGGCCTACCTTTCCTTTGCCTATGATATCCATCAGTTTTCCAGGAGTAGCACACAATATATTACAGCCTTGCACTATCTCACGGACTGAATGCCGAAAGTGGGTTCCCCCATATACAGCAACAGCTCTTACACAAGTCCTATTCATAGGAAAAACAAAAGCCATTGTCAGGTTATTTGCAAACTAGACATTTGTTTCTAACAAAATGTGAAATGAAATAAGTAAAGAATCCTAATACATGGAATTATCTAAAAAAAATCAAATTCTTCCCAGGAAGAAACCAAAAAACAAATTAAATAACTGGAAAAATTTTGCTAACTATCTAATAAGGCTTTTCAAAAGCAATTATTAAAATTACCACTACCCCCCCAAAAATAGCCAGAAATATAAAAAATAGCCAATAAAAAATACAAGTGGCTTTTAAACTTTTTTTTAAGTTCAACCTTACTTTAAAAGAGAAGACAAATGAAGACTAACATGTTTTCCCTCAAGTATAATAATATAAAGTTGACCATGGTATAGAGAAATTGGCACTCAAGAAGGTAAACTGATACAATCTCTTTCACAATTTTAGTTCTATTAAAATATAAAACCTATCTCTTGTCCCAATAAATTCATATGTAGGAATTCACCATTCAGATATGTCCCCCAAATGGACAAAGATACCGGTACAATAGTATTCACTGCCAACATTACTGTTCATATCAAAAAGGTTGAAACTAAGTGTCTAACAACAGAAGACTTAAAATTATAGTCCACCCATAAAAAAGGTATAGTGCATCTTAAAAGGGGGAACAGTTCTAAATTAAGCATTATGTCCAGCATACAGTATAGTAAAGAATAGGGTGACAACAACTTAGTATGTTACCATTTGTTAAGAGGAAAATTAAAGTGCACACATGTACACCAGTTATTTCTACGATAATTAATAGAAAATTGTTGAACATGGGTAATTCTGAAAAGGAGAGTTAAAGAACTGAGGGTTAGGGGAACTCAAGATGGTGGCATGAGTAGAGCAGCAGAAATCTCCTCCCAAACACATATGTAGTTTTGAAAATACAACAAATACAACTATCCCGAAAAGAGAGACCAGAAGATACAGGACAACAGTCAGACTACATCTACACCTGCGAGAACCCTGCGCCTCATGAAGGGGGTTAGATACAAGCCACGGCCCGGCGGGACCCAAGCGCCCCTCACCCCAGCTCCTGCCAGGAGGAGAGGAGTCGGAGCGGGGAGGGAGAGGGAGCCCAGGACTGCTAACACCCAGCCCCAGCCATCCGCACCAGAGCACAAAAACACAGTGTGTGGGGTGCTGGATACTAGGGAAACGGGACAGTAAAATCTGCAAGCAGGTCCCCACAGCTGGTGCCCCTGGGACAAAGAAAAGAGAGTGCTTTTTGAAAGTCTTAAAGGGACATGGACCCCACAGCTGGATGGAAGCGCCCTGGAACACTTAGCCTAGCAGCTAGGAATCCCAGGGAACTCTAGGTGCCCTAACCCCCTGGGCAGCAGCGAAGGTTGGAGGCCACTCATGGCAATAAACAGCCTCCAATATGCACAATGGAGTATTATTCAGCCCTAAGAAGAAAACAAATCCCACCATTTGCAACAACATGGATAGAGCTAGAGGGTATTATGCTCAATTGAAATAAGCCAGGTGGAGAAAGACAAGTACCAAATGATTTCACTCATTTGTGGAGTAAAAGAACAAAGAAAAAACTGAAGGAAAAATACAGCAGCAGACTCACAGAACCCAAGAATGGACTAACGGTTACCAAAGGGAAAGGGACTGGGTGGGAAGGGAGGGAGAAGGGGAGTAAGGGGCATTCCAATTAGCACACATAACATGGGGGTCACAGGGAAGGCAGTATCGCACAGAGAAGACAAAGTAGTGACTCTGTAGCATCTTACTACGCTGATGGACAGTGACTGTAATGGGGTATGTGGTGGGGACTTGATAATGGGGGGAATCTAGTCACCACAGTGTTGTTATGTGACTGTATATTAATGATATCAAAATAAAAAAATGCACTTGGAAAAAAATAAAGTAAAATATGTACACAAATCCTTCCTTCCTTCAACTATGGATCCTCACTGCCCCTTAACTATGTGCAAAGCAGGCTTCATAGGTGTGCAACCTATGCAGTCACAAAGGGACCCAAGGCTGGAAGATTCCTAAGCTTCGTTTCATGCTGTGCTATTTGCTATCTTAAAATTCATAGTAATTTTTGAACCAAAGACCCTGCATGTTCATTTTGAACTAGTTTCAGCAAATCACACAACCACTCCTGAATCTGAGCCAGACGTAGTGACTTGCTTAGTGATGGACAGAATATGGCCAAAGTCATTGAGACCATTTTATAAAGGCCCCTGTAGCTCCTCTTTGCTCTCTCACTGATCAATCTGAGGGAAGCCAGTTGCCATTTTGTAAGGACAATCAGGCATCCTCATGGAGACGTCCAGTCACATGACTGCAGTCCTGCCTTACGCCCCATCTGCAACCTCTTGAACCCACGCCAGAATCCCCCCATTAAACTGTTGTGCAATTCCTAGAACTCAGGAACTGTTTAATATTTATTTTTTTGAACAAAAAAAGGTATTAGCTATTGCTGCTTAACAAATTACCCTAACTAATACAATACCAAATGTTGGCAAAATATACAGTGAAGTTGGCATTCTTATATTCTGCTGATAGTACACTGGCTCAGGCTTTAAATGAAGCTCATACTCTTTAATATTAAATTTATAACAATCTACCCTAACACTTAAAACATAAAAATAGAAAAAACATTATACAGCAAGCTATTTATTGTAGTTTTATTTATAGTAGCCCGAAATTTGAAACGACCCAAATGCCCCAAAATAGAGAAATAAAATAGATACACATGAATAATCTTAAAAATCACTTAAAAAATTAGGCATGATTATGAAATAAGCTGTTATCCATATTCTAAAGTTATGTGTAAAAGAATAGAGAGTATTATTCGGAGTACCCTCAGTTCATTTTTTAAAGATGCATTAAAATGTTTAATTTTATGTTCACTATTTTCTTATCTTTTTCTATTATCACTTAATTTATAATAAGCATGGTTCTTCTTAGAAATAAAAATAAGGGATTTGATAAAAAAGATTATGAAAAAATACACTTCAACCAAGCAATACAAATTACATGAGTGACGTATTACTGAGTTCTTCCCAAAAAAGCTTTAAAAAATCTCTTAAGAAAATCTTGTTCGGTAGTGGCATTCTTGATGTACTTACCCAAAAGAAAATTTTCTGGCTTCCAAATAGATCTGCCTGATTAATTCTCGAGTTGGTGCTACAATAATACACTCGGGTTCCTGCAGCTCTTTAGAATGACTGGCAGTTATTCCAGCACTCATCATATGAGCCAAAATGGGCAAGAGAAATGCCGCCTAGAAGTTAAATCACATAATTTACAAATTTCTAATGCATCATCCTTCTCCCTTTATCCTTCTACTTATTCCTCCTGCCCTATGGCCTTTAGGTTTTTCTTCCAACTTGCTAGTAAATTTAAGATTAGAGAGCATAACAACTTGGGTTTTTAACATATAGGTCTTTAGGCAATTATACAATACAAGATGTCAGATAAGTATTTTTTAGTTCTTAGGTTTAAAAAGCAGATCCATGAATTCTAAATACATCAACACCATTAACTTATCTATAAAGGGAAAAGAAGGTATAACTTTAGGAAATTACTGCACTTAGCAGTTATTCTGAATGAATCCTTTCGGGAGAGTGACACAATCATTACTCAGAATGCATGCCGAGGTGGCACACAAGAAGAACAAAAACTGGGAAATCATTCATTTGGATTGTTACCACATCACCCTTATTGAAGTTTATCTGGCAAGAGAAATTTAGTGCTACAGTTTTCCTTAAGCTAATATGATGCTAAAGTCTACCTCCAAAACAATGTTTAAGTCACATATTAGCCGCTATATTACACAACTCACCTTTTTTCCCTTCAACTCTACTGTGGAGGCCAATTAAAACTAAAATAGTATGAACCACAACTCTATGATCTGGAAATGACAGTCTCTATTACTCATCTCATGGAACCTTGTATTTAGTAGACAAATGCCACAGATTAGTCCTAAAACCTACCTGGTTTCATCAGAGTTCTTTCAGATAGCATAAACGGAGAGTACTATTATATTATCCTTATTAAATTTATATATACACACATACATATACATATATAATGTTTTATATTATTCTTCATACTGAGAACCAGGTACAACGAGTATAGCTATTTCTCATTCTTTGGACTCCAAAACTGTATCAACTGTATTACATAAATCACTTTCTTCCTCTGTTTTATCACTTCTGGTGCTTTGACCCTCAACTGTTTTGTTTCAGGTACACTACCAAGATCCAGAAGGAGCTGAGCACGCTTAGAAACAGACTAAACATCTATGAAAGGCAACGTTACTTTAGAAATAGTTCAAAAGTTTTTTTCAGAAGTACACAAACCCCAATAAAACCAGAAATCAGAAGCAAAAACATGATTATTTATGACAATTCATTGAAATTATGTACAAAGCTTCTATTCAATAAAAGATAGTCAAGCTACTTGGGAGGAACCAAAGTTCGAAACATTCAATAGTTTGAATAGGGGGCAGAATCCATGTGGCAAAATGACTTACAGTCTTTCCAGACCCTGTTTGCGCACAGGCTATCAAATCTCGTCCTGCCAGGGTAACAGGAATACCGTATTCCTGCACAGGAGTAAGCTTAGAATAACCAGCTTTAGCAATGTTGTCATGCAGTGTCTGACAGAGATTCGCTACTTTAAAAGTCAAAAAACAAGCAGTGATTAAATTCCATACATCATAAACATATTCCATCTGAATTAGTTTCAGGTTTTTGCTAATTACACTTTACACACTAAAGTTACTTTACCAATAGGCCCTCACTCACAAGTAATATCCAGAGCCTGTATATTATTACTTGGTAGAATTAAGGAGTGTTCCCTATGGACAGTGGATCTAGAAGCACTTTTTTCTGCCCGCTTAGAACCTGTGAGATACAAATAACTCTGATCAGTGACGATCACTCATTACCAACAGGGGACTGTAGGCTCCGGCACTTAGAAAATCAGACCCTAGGACATAAACTTTGTCACATACTCAGAAATCCCAGGACAAGTGCCCTTTTAGTAAATTTAAATCAAGTTCTCATCCTGGTTTGGGGAGGTAGGGATGTACCTTCTCTTTCAACATAGCAATTAATTCTACTGTAGATGGCAGACATGGCTCTAACTTTCCAAGCTGGCATTAGATACTAAAGATGACATTTTTGTATTCTTTAATATTAGCTTAAAGTACCATATGCCTGAAAACCAAAGTCGGCTACATAGTCAATACAGAAATACTTAATACACTGACCAGAATCGGTGGTGGCGCATTGCGTCCGGATACCTCTGCAAGAATACAATCGTATTTGTCAAAGTTTCTCCCTGGTTGATAATGTGCAAACATGGAGTCCTCATCCTCAGGTGGAGGAGGTGGTATATAGGTTACTTTTGGTCCTCGGAATTTAAATAAAAAACAACATACATTATAAGAACGAGAAGAAAAATAAGAGGAAAAACAGAAACCTGACAAAGTCCAATTTTTAATACAGTAGAACTTTCCTTGCTTACCATTAAAGTTGTTTTTACTTAAAATTTTAAAAAGTTAACTCTGCCTTTAAGTACTCTGCACAGAAAATAATTTTCGTAATAAAAATCATATATACTGTATTTTCTTTATTCCTTATATCAAATCAAATAACTATCTCACCAGAAAAGACATATTGTTTTCATACAAGGATTTATACATATGGATATATCCCGGTTTTTAACGTTTGCACAGTCTCCCATTTTACGGTTATATTAATTAAACAGTTATTTACTCAGGAATTATAGGCAATTTTCAGGTTTTATTTATTATAAATGGGAGCTTCAGTGAATACCCCTCATACATGTACATCTACAGTATGGAATTCCTCTACTGCAATTGCTGGATTGAAGAGAGTTAAATAACTCTCAAAAACAGGCTGTGAATCTGTATACTCCTCAGAGTGTATAAAAGCAGTAACAGCTACCCTTAACTTCAAACATTAAACTTGGATTACAGTAAGTTTAATCACTTAAAGGTAAACCAAGTGAGAACGCACCTCGTCGACTTCGTCCACACCCTCTGCTTTGGTAAGTGTCACCGTGACCTGTAAAGCATTGTTTTGCAGAGTATTACGAGAAAACACAGCTCCTCCCCAAGAAAATAAACCATATAGCTATTTCTCTTCAAATATTGAGTAATTACTCAGGATTCCTAGTCCCTTCATCCACCCATCTCTTAATTCTACATTTGACTTAAACCTTTTCCTCATTTGAATGTTTTGTTTAAAGACTTCCTTTTATAGAGCAATTTTAGGATCACAGAAAACTCGAGGCAAAGGTACAAAACTTTCCCATATACCTCCTGCCCCAACACCTGCACAGCCTCCTCCACTACCAACATCCCCCGCCACGGTAGTCCACTGGCTAGAACTGATGAGCCTACACTCATCACGCATCATCACCCAGAGTCCATCGTTTACATTAGGTCTTCCTCTTGGTATTGTACATTCTATGGATGTGGGCAAACTGATAATGACATGTGTCTGTCATTATGGTACCATACAAAGTATTTTTACTGCCCTAAGTCTCCATGCTGCACCCATTCATCCCTCCCCTGGCAACCTCTGATCTTTTTTTACCCTTCTCCATTGCTGTGGCTTTTCCAGAATGTCATATAGTTGGAGTTATACTGCCTGTAGCCTTTGCAGATGGGCTTCTTTCACTTAGTAATAGGAAATTAAGGTTCCTCCATATCTTTTCACAGCTTGATAGCTCCTATCTTTTTAATGCTGAGTAATATTCTATTATTTGGATATATCACACTTTATCCACGTTTGTACACATTTCATCAATCGTTTGTTTTTTCATTGTCTCCTCAAAAACTCTTTGTTTGAAACCAGCGCAAACCTCATTTTCCTTCCTCCAATTAAAATTATGATTTATACCCCAAATTAACTGGTAGATGAAAGAGAAGAAATAATGAACACTGTACAAATTATATAACATAGGCAAAATAGTTCATGCGTTTTTGCCTACAGATACGAAAAGGAGAGAAAATCAGGAGCCAATCTAATATACTTAAATATATTTTAGGTTTACTAATCCTAGAGCTAAAAGCATATACAAATGATGAATATTCAGTAATAAATTCGATTTCTCACCTGCACCACTTAATGCTGGTCTTGTAGAACCAAAAATGCCACCAGTGCACTGTGTCCCCTCATATTGTTCATGTTCACTATCTAGATCCATAAACACCAAAATTAGATTATGTTACTTTTAGAAAGTTTTTAAATCATAAAGTAAAGAGAAGAAATCAAGTTGTGGTATCTGAAGTTAAATATTCGGGGTAAAATAGTGTAATTAAAAGAAATCACAATGAGTATTTTTCCAAGTACTGCAATTACAAAAAGAAATAATTCTCACTGTAATTCAACAATGTTTATTACAAGTCTGTAACAAAATGCATCACATAAGAAGAATCAGTTAACTTATTCTAAAACAGGAATACATCTAAATATTAAACATTCCCTTAAGTATAATATTATAATGTCTCTAATGTTTGTAGTAGCAAACAAACCCGCACTTGAAGCTCTTAGCACAATTAGATGATCCAGATCATTAATGCTTCTTACTTATTAATGTGCAGGCTTAAAAAACAAAATGAGAAAAAGCAGGAACGTGTCAAAATACAAAATTCACATTTGTATCAACTGTCTCTAAACAAGAAATTCAGGTTTCCAAATATCAAATGAAACACTACATATCAACACATTTAGTTTCTAATGAATAAAAATATCTAGAAATAAAATTCTTCCAAGAATAACATCTAAAAAATTCAAGAATAACTGCTACATATGCCTAAAACTACCAACTGGCCCTAGCTTGTGACGTCCCATTAAAGAAACAAATGGTCATATGTATTTTCAAATTTAATTTGAGGTTCTATATAATATTTGATTGCATTATAATAAAACATAGTGCAGAATATTTTCAGCCTTTTAGTATCAAATCTAAAAATGCACTGTAGAGAGTATCTTGCTATGCCGTTATCCAGTCAAATCGAGGGCTGGGTTCTTCTAAAAGTAAAAAATCTCAGGCCTAGGAAAATAACCTTTTAACACTAATGAGCTCAGAAAAAAGCTTCCTGTTCTGCCTTTTCTCCAAAAATACAAAACAAAAAAGAGGTCCTTCTCACCCTAATTTCTGAGGCTTTTACATTATTCCCATCACAATTGTTGGAAATCAATAATCAAAAACACATTAAGCAGCAACTCTGTGAAGCAACTATCTTTAACCAACCAATCTAATCAATTTAACTATTTTCTACTATCTTATCTTTTACCATAGTAAAAAAGCCGAAAGAATACCACCATTCAAAAAAATGATGAACTCATCGCAAAGTCTACAGTGCTTTGAGTTGTATGAGATGCAGCTTTGCAGTACAGAGCCATAAAAGCCTCTAGTCATTCCACTATTCAACAGTTGAGAAGACAAAGATACTTACCTCCGTTCCCCAAACTCCTCCCAGAGGCAAATCCCCATGTCATGAAATGATCTCCTTGAAAACGTCCAACATCCATTTCTAAACATAGCAAATAACATTTTGAAGCAAATCAAAATAACAGTATCTTGATGGTATGCAAACTTTAAACCTTTTCAATGTGCCACCCACATGGCAAATGAGAAATGCTACACAACAATAAGAAAAACAAATAGTTCTAGTAGAAAAATGGGCTGTAAGAATAGGTACTTCGCCAGAAGAAAACTGAATAACTAACTTTCACTCATTGGTAAAGAAACTGGAAATCAAAACACGGAATGACTTTATTGAACCCTGGACTGGTAGGAAAACAGTTTTCAGTTTGCTAATACCAAGAATAGTCAGGATATAGGACAACAAGCACAAATCATACACTACCTTGAAGCTATAAACTCGATCAATCTCAGCACAAAAAAAAAGGACACACAGATCAATGGAACAGAGTAGAGAGCCCAGAAATAAATCCAAACTTACATAGTCAATTAATCTATAAGAAAGGAGGCAAGGTATATATACAACGTTTCCCTGTCAGACAGTATCATCAAACTGGACAGTTAACTACATGCAAAAGAAAGACGAACAGCACTTTCTTATACCATACACACAAATTAACTCAAAATGGATTAAAGACGTAGATATAAGACCTGAAAATATAAAACTCCTAAAAAACAGCCTACACAGGGAACTGTGGAAAATGGCATTAGCAGTTATTTTTTTGTGGTGGGGGAGGTTTGTCTCCCCAGGGAAGGGAAAACAAAAGCAAAAATAATCAAGTGGGCCTACAACAAACTGAAAAGGTTTTGCAAAGGAAACCATTAACCAAATGAAAAGGCAACCTACTGAATGGGAGAAGGTGTATGTGAATGAAACATTCAATAAAGGGCTAATATCCAAAATGTATAAACACACACAAAAACATCTGATTAAACAATGGGCAGAGAACCTGAATAGACATTTTCCCGAAGAAGACACAGAGATGGCCAACAGACACATGAAAAGATGCTCAACATCACTCATCATCAGAAAAATGCAAATCAAAGCCATAATGAGATAACACTTCCCATCAGTCACATGGCTAGTATTCAAAACGTAACAAATAACAACTGTTGGCGATGATGAGGAGAAAAGGGAGCCCTGCGATCTGTTGGTGGGAATGCAAACTGGTGCGGCCACTATGGAGAGCAGAATGGAGGGTTACCAAAAATGACAAATGAATTACCATATGATCCACTAATTCTACTTCCTGGTATTTACCTAGAGAAACTGGAAACACTGATTCAGAAAGATATATGTATCTCTATGCCAACTGTAGCTTACTGGCAATAGCCAAGATACTGAAGCAACCTAAGAGTCCAACAATAGATGAATGGATAAAGATATGGCATATATACACAAAGGAATATTAGTCATAAAAAAAGAATGAAATCTTGCTATTTGCTGATGCAGTGGATGGATTTAGAGGGTGTTATGCTAAGTGAAATAACACAAAGACAGACAAATACCATACGATTTTATTTACATGTGGAATCTAAGAAAACAAATGAACAAAAAACAGAAACAGACTAGTAATAAATACAGAGCACAAACTGTTGGTTGCCAGAGGGGTGGAGGCAGAGGGAAGGGAGGAGTAGGGAGAGGCACAAACACGTACCAACTTCCAGTTCTTTAAAAGAAAGAAAAAAAGAAGCTGGATCTTGATCCCAACTTAGAAGAATATATAGTTTTTGAGGATACTCATACGAATTTCTCCTCTGGATGTACTCAGATAGTAACAAAGATACACGTAAAGAGGTTGCTGTAAGCACTCTTTGTAATAGCAAAAAAAATGATCAAAGGAGAATAAGTAAACTACAGTATCCATAAAATAACTGTGGATTTTCACAAAAGTATACAGCATCCAACATTAAAGAACTGACATTCTTCAACGACAGACAGAATGTCCATAAAAACTACGTGAAAGACCACAATGCAAGTTCAAATTTCAAAAATCAATCATCAAAAACACAAAATTCTCTAATCGAAATAATTCAGTTGAATTAGAAGTCATTAAATACAAAAAATTCTTATTTAAAAATCCTCTTACATTTGGAAATGCACATTTACAATATTTCATATAATGCATGGATCAAAGAAAAAAATTACAATGGAACTTGAGAAATACTCAGAATTCTCTGACAAAAATGTTCCTTATCAGCACTAAGATTTTTATACTGGAAAATAAAAACTCAAAATTAATGAGCTGAACAGTCATCTCAACTACTAAGAATGTTAGAAAAAGAACAAAATTAACCACACCAAAGGAAGGAAAAAAGAAAAGAGCAAAAATTGATCAAATGGGAAACAAAATGAAGAGGCTCCACAAAGGCAAAATCTGGTTCTTTGAAGAGAACAATAAAGACTTGCCCGAGTGACAAATCACGAGGAGAGTGATCAAGGGAGGGGGAAAAAAAGAACAGAAAAGACACAAATGAATAGTATTAGGAATGAAAAAAAGGAAAAGGAAATGACCTCCAAATCTATGGGAGCTGCTGTTAAATCGGTATAAAGCATCAGTTATATAAGACAAAAAAGTTCTACAACTCTGCTGAAAAACAATGTGCTGCTTGTGGTCAACAATAATACTGTACTGTACGCTTAAAGTTAAGAGGATAGATCTCACGTTACGTGCTTAGTACTAGAGTAAAAACAAAATTACCAGGAACAACTGTAATCCATGAAAATTAAAACTCAAAATTAGTGGAAATGTCCCAAGAAAATTAAGTCAAAACTGATTCAAGAAGCAATAAACACAAACCAAACCAAATTGTCCTCTAGAAATTGAATCAGTACTTAAATCTCTGCATCATGCCTAGATACAGTTTTGTAAGTGAGTTCTTCCAAACAGTCAAAGAACTAATCATTCCAGCGTCATAC